AAAAAAAAAAAAAAAAAAAAAAAAAAAAAAAAAAAAAAAGTGGCTAACAATGGTTCCTCACCTTCTCGTGGTGTTGGCTGTTTGTACTGAGTGAGAACCGTCCATTTTAAGATATAGTCTATTTCTTGCCCTGCCATTATTATTCTACAAGTTAATTGTGGAGTGAGAATTTCATAATGTTTTCTAAGAAATCTTCAAAATATAGTGATTAAAAATTTGCAACTACTACAAAATCGGCTCGCGAAGCGAGCCAAATGTCACTCGCGTAGCAAGTGACCGGGGGTCCAGGGGGCGTAGCNCCCCGGCCCAGGCGTGACGGGCGCGCAAAGCGCGCCCAGAACGACTAGTTAAATATATAGATAAATACACGAAAATCAATTTTTACTATTGCCGAGGCATTATTTAGACAAGGAAGGAATTCTCAGCCATTATGCGAACCTCCGCACCACGGTCATTTCCAAGCGGTCTCCCATCTAAGTACTAACTACGAATAAAATAAGCTAAAATAACAAAATGAATGAAATAAATATAATGCATTAAATAAATAAAAAAGATGAAATTAAATAAATGAATAAAATAAACTAAAATAAATAAATGAGTAAAATAAGATAAATACCTAAATGAATAAAATGTATTAAAATAAATGAATAAAATGAAATAAATAAAGGAATCAAATAAAATAAATAAATGAATAAAATAAAATAAATAAATGAATAAAATAAAAGAAATAAATGAATAAAATAAAAGAAATAAATGAATAAAATAAAATAAACAAATGAATAAAATAAAATAAATAAATGAATAAAATAAAATAAACAAATGAATAAAATAAAATAAATAAATGAATAAAATAAAATAAATAATTGAATAAAATAAAATAAACAAATGAATAAAATAAAATAAATAAATGAATAAAATAAAACAAATAAATAAAATAAGTAAATGAATAAAATGAACTAAATAAATGAATAGAATAAAATAAATAAATAAATAAAATAAACTAAATAAATGATTAAAATAAAATAAATACATGATTAAAATAAAATAAATGATTGAATGAATGAAATAAAATAAATAAACGAATGAAATAAAATAAATAAATGAATAAAATAAAATAAACAAATGAAATAAAAGAAATAACTGAATAAAATAAAATAAATAAAGGGATAAAATAAAATAAATAAATGAATAAAATAAAATAAAATAAAATAAACGAATAAAATGAGAGCCTGTTTTATTTTTTATTTCTTCTATTATTAAAAAAAAAAATCTTAGGTAAATACGAAATAAAACCGAAAGAATTCAAAAAAATTGCCAAAAAAACTCGAAGCACGTTAAAGAGTAGTTATAAGTAATTTTTAAGTTCAGAAAAGAAAAGTGCGCGAAAAATTACATAGGAAAACATATAATGTATGACATCAAAACGACGATTTGTCGAGGCACAGCCGTGGAAAGAGCACTCCGGCAGCCGCTCAACCCCCCACTTCACCCCCTTGTATCTCCGGAACTGCTTTTCAACTCAAGCTGAAATTTTTTCCTGAGACTTGGGGCATCATATGCATCAATTTGGCGCAAGTCCCGTTTGCCGAATCGAGATCCTAAAAAGGGGCGAATTTTGACCCATTATTAACAAGGATCTTAGAGTTTCCCGTCGAAAAGTATCTCCTGGTACAGAGTTTCACGAAAATCTATCGAACAAGAGCCGTCTCAGTATTATAGGCCACGGTTGCCATCTTGGATTTTAAATTTTTGAAAAGCTCACCAAAAATTCGAGTTTCCTGTCGAAAAATAACCTTCGATAGAAATTCCAATAAATTCTCACCAAAATCCGTCGTAGAATATGAATATGGAAAATATATTGAATTTTGAAAATCTAACCAAAAATTCGAGTTTCCTGTCGGAAAATATCCCCGGTTACTGAGTCTCACGAAAATCGATCAAACTGGAGCCGACTTAGCATCTGAGGCAACGGCCGCCATCTTGAATTTTGACATTTTGAAAATCGGACCAAAAATTCGAGTTCCCCGTCGAAGAATACACCGTGGCACCAATTTTCACAAAAATACGTCGAAAAATACCTCCTAAAACCTGAAATTTCGTTATAAGGCTATGACGTCACGCGTCAGGATTGAACCTGTTCAGCGCGGTGCTTGTGAACAACTTCGTATTTCCAATGCATTCGTATAGGGAGAAACAACTTGTTTTTTAGGCTTCAGCGGCATTTTTTCCTAAAGATTTTTCGGGCATGTAAAGGTGTTTCTTAGCCTCATTCTTGCTGAGTTTGAAGGAAATCGATCCGACAGTTTTTTTTTGTAAAGTGTTGATGAGACCTTGGTTACTTAGCCTTATATTTTTAACTAGCCGTGATTAGCTCGATTTGCGAGCTGACACGCCTAGCCGGGGAGTGCCCCCGGACGCCCGGTTCTTTGCTTCGCGATGAACTTGCCACTCGTTCTTCCCGCCGCCCCCGCCCCGCAGTTTTTAACTTTAATGAGAAGATAATATCTTCGTCCTCATTCTCTTTTTCACAAATTTTCACAAAAATCGATGGTCCAGGAGCCGAGACAGCTTTACAGGGCGCGGCCGCAATATTGGATTTTATGAATCCTGAAAATCTAACCAAAAATTCGAGTTTCCCGTCGGAAAATATCTCCTGATATCGAGTTTTACGAGAATCAAAAGTAGAGGAGCCGAGATAGCATTTTAGACTACGGCCGCCAACTTGGATTTTGAAATTTTGAAAATCTAACCAAAAATTCGAGTTTCCTGTCGGAAAATACCCCCGGTCACTGAGTTTCACGAAAATCGATCAAACTGGAGCCGACTTAGCATCTTAGGCAACGGCCGCCATCTTGAAATTTGAAATTTTGAAAATCGGACCAAAAATTCGAGTTCCCCGTCGAACAATACACCGTAGCACCAATTTTCACAAAAATACGTCAAAAAATACCTCCTAAAACCTGAAATTTCGTTATAAGGCTGTGACGTCACGCATCGGGATTGAACCTGTTCGGCGCGGTGCGCGTAAACAATCGCGTATCTCCAATGCAATACTATAGGGAGAAACAACTTTTCGCTGTTGCGGGCGTCTTAAGCAGCGGATTGGAATCGGAATAATTTCGATCAACTCCTCACAACAATAGCTAAGCGTGTACCAAGTTTAAAGGAAATCGCTTCGGCCAATTTTTCGCCAGGGGGNGGGGGGGGGGGGGAGGGGGGCAGCGTGAGTGGTAACAGCAGCTTTATATAGAGTAATAAATCAATAAATAAATAAAATAGACTGAAAAATACCAGACTCCCATGGGCGCACAGGGGATCCCCTGTCATTCCCTTGGGAGCACAGGGGCTTTCGCTTTCCTGTCCATTCCCCAGGGGAGCACAGGGGCTTTCCTGTCCATTCCCTAGAGGAGCACAGGGGCTTTCCTGTTCATTCCTCAGGGGAGCACATGTGATCTTGTGTCCATGTCCAGGGGAAATTTTTATCCGAGTATAAGTTATAAAGCATCTAAAGTAGATAAAGACGTTGTGTTTTGTCGCACTATATCCGTTCCCAAGTTTGGTGACGTCTTTTCAGGACACTGTAGGGTCCTGTATGCAGTTCCTATGAATATAGTTCTGTGATGCTCCACTGTACATGGTGGGCTGCAGTCACATATATAGGCCCGTAGCATTTCCCCTGAAGTTCTATGATGATCCACGATACACCGTAAGATTACGTAGCATGGTGTCAACGATCATGGTGTCAACAAACAGTTTTTCTAAGTTTTTGTTGACACCACGATCATCCAAAAATAAAAAATTCTGACCCTCATGAAAAATGATCACGGTGTCAACGATCACGACGTCAACGAAACTTAAAACTTGCCTCAATAACACATTTTAAATTTCAAGTCTTGTTTTTCTTGTGTTATTTACTCTAACCTAACCTAACCTGACCTAACCTAACCTAACCTAACCTAACCTAACCTTACCTAACCTAACCTTACCTAACCTTACCCAACTTTACCTAACCTTACCCAACTTCACCTTACAAGACCTATCCCACTTTCACAGAGCTTAACTTTCCCCGACCTTACCCTACACTACTTTAACCTTACCTACTTAATCTAACCGTACATGTCCTGATCTAAACTAACCTAATCCAACTATACGTGACCCAGACCTCTCCTGTACACTTATTTTTTTTAATTTTACTCACAAGGAACATATTTTTCTGTTTGTTGACACCGTGATCGTTGACACCATGCTCAGGGCCCATTTTTGCGTTTGCCTGATCACGACGTTAACAATCGTTGACTCCACGATCAGATTTTTGGTTTGTTGACACCATGATCGTTGCCACCATGCAACGTTACCCACCGTAAGAGGTCCCACGAGAGCACATATGGGTCACATGTATACTCCCATGGGAGCACAAGGGTCATACTTGTTGGCTCCCAGGGGAGCGCACGGGTCACATGTTAGCCCCCAGGGGAGCACACGGGCTCCCCTGTACATTCCCCAAGGGAGCACATGTGATGTCGTGTCATTCTACTGGGAGTACATGTGATTTATTTTATTTATTTATTTATTTATTTATTTATTTATTTATTCTTTTGCTTTTTGCTCATTTGGCTTCACAAAAACGTCATTTTCTAAATAAAGGTACTGATAGGTATAAACATATTTACATACAAATCGTCTTAAATTCATTCATTGACATTCAAAAATTCATTGATTGAGTACGGGCATTTTGCAATCAAATGCCTTGTGGCCAGCTTACCGAATGTTGGACTATATATGCTTTCCTGTATAATATTTGGTAATTTATCAAAGAATTTCCATGCCTTTGTTAGGTATGTGTCGTTCTTTGATAAACTGCTAAATTGGTGATATCTTGTGCCATACCCATGTGTCTCTGCCTTATCTCCCTTCAGCCTTTTAGCCAGTAATTTTAAGTGACTCATAATTATTTTGGCCGGTAATGTTAATATCTCATTTTTTATGAAGTGTTCTCGGCATGATGTATCTTGCTTCAGTTTCAGAATGGTTCTGATTGATTTTTTTTGGAGAATAAAGATTTTCTCTATCTGTTTATTACTCGCGCATGACCAAGTATTGATACAGTAATTTATATGAGACTCGACTAGTGCGTGATAGGCTAGTAGAAGAAGTTTTTTATCGCAGAATTTACTTAACATCCTCAGGACAAAAATTGACGAAGCTATCTTAGATCTTATTTTGTCACAATGCATTTCAAAGTTTAATTTATTATCAAGGTAGAGTCCAAGATATTTTAGTGCGTTTACTTCTTCTAATTGCCTTTCATCCACGAATATATTGAAGTTCCAATTACATTTAATTCTAGTATGTATCAGCATAAATACTGTCTTTTCTTCATTAAAATTCAGGAAGTTAATTTTGCACCATTGAAGTAAGTAATTCATGAGAACATAGGTGTCTTTTTCGAGATTCTCTAGACATTGATTGCGGACAACCATTAGGATGTCATCAGCGAATAGTAGGATTAAGAGTAATGATTTTAGAGCTTCCAATGTAATCTTCCTTTTAAAATATGTAGCTATATCATTAACAAATAAAATAAATAGAATTGCAGCAATCACAGATCCCTGTGGAACACCACCCAGTACTAACAACTTCTTTGATTTGAATTTCTTATTACCAACTTGGATTTCAACGTACTGAGTCCTCCCCACCAAGTAGCTTTCCAGCCATTTACAAAATTTCTCACTGAATCCTATTCGTTTTAGTTTATACATTAGCAGATCAAATCGAACTGTGTCAAATGCTTTTTTAAGGTCAACCGCAACTATGACTGAATATTTGTGTTTCTTTCTATCAGTGAGTAATACATAATGACATTTCTGTATTGCTGCCTCTGTGTTGAGTGATTCACGAAAGCCGTACTGGTGCTCATAGAGAATTTTATGCTTTCTTAAAAATCGAGAAATTTGCTTCACCACTATTTTTTCATATACCTTCGATAAGGGGGACACTAAGGACAGGGGTCTGTAATTGCTCAAGATTTCATTGGCGCCTTGTTTAAATAGAGGTGACACTTTGCTAATTTTTAGCGATTCTGGAAACGAACATTCTGAGAAGGATTTGTTTATGAGAAGATTAAAGGGTGGAGTAAGTGCTGATCTGAACATTTTTACCGTCATGTTACTCAATCCATCGTGGCTTTGGGATTTTTTGTTTTTAAGGCTGTTTATTGCCTCTTCTACTTGGTATTCATCGGTTTTGTTCAGTTCAAATATTTCATCGACACTCATTATATGATGAAAGTCTTTATGTTCAATTTGTGAAGTATAGGATTTTCCCATAACTGAGGTAAAATACTCATTAAATTTATTTGCTATGTTAACAGGATCTTCAAAAATCTCGCCCTTGTATTCTATTTTATCTATGCTTTTTCTACTATTTTTTTCTTTTCTTTCTTCATTTATGACGGACCACGATGTCTTTGCCATGTTTTCAGATTTATTTAATCCGTCCGTTACCTGACTAGCTTTTTCCCTTAAAATTTTTTTCTTTATACCTCCTTTCCATGTCTTTTTGCTCGTTTTTATATTGTTTATAAACTTCCTTATCAAATTCAGGAGATTTTTTTAATTGTTTCATCTTATTACTTATCTCTGCTATTTTATGATAATGAATTCTTCTTTCTTTTCTACTTATGACATTTTTCCTATTTTTGATCGCTTTAAATTTCTCAGGGAAGTATAGATTGTGTTGGTATGAGATAGAAGTAAAGAATTCTTCGGCATTTTTACCAAGGTCGGAATTGTAGGTGTCGATAATAAAATTGGCGAACGAACTTTTAGCAAGCGGATCGTTATGATTTCTCATAAAAAAACCGTTCTCAGGAGACGTTTTTACAAAGTTTTCAGTACATATGTTGGATTCAATAGCAAGGTGGTCTGATAGGGCGTTTTCTAGGACTTGAGACTGAACAAGTTTGTATGGCACATTCGTGAATACATTATACATTATACATTATACATTATCCATTTTACTAGCGGTTGTTTCCGTGATTCTGGTGTATTCTGAGACTGTATGCTTACAGCCATTCTCTTTCATGATATTCAAGAAATCCCTAACTTGTTTATCGTTACATCCGGAGTCTAGGTTTATGTTAAAATCTCCAGCGATAATTAGTTGTTCTTTCAGACTTACATTATCAAGCATTTTATTTAACTTGTCTAGGAAATCATTTACATTAGAGCTTGGTGATCTGTAGATGGCAATCACTCTAATCTTTAAATCAGGCAGCAGACACATGGCATATTCAAAAACTTTTTCCTCACTGCTTCTCTCGATATTTACTGGTATTGATTTTATGCTTTTATGTACCAATATGATAACACCACCTCCTTTGTATTTCTTCCTACTGAAATAAGATATTATATCATACTCGGGGTGAATTCGGAGTTGTTCTATTTCCTCATTTTTTAGTCCATGTTCACAAAGACATACTATGTGTGGTTCCTCCTCATAGAGAAAATCACTCAGTAAAAATTTCTTTTCCTTAAGGTACTGAATATTTTGCATAATAAGCTTAATTCTAAATTTACTCTTTAGTTTGAATTCATTTGACTTAGTGCTCTCAACCTTATTTTTTAATAGGGTTTCGTCTATGCTTCTTAGTTTAAAGATAAATTTGCTCTCTCTGGAGTTGAGGCTTTGTGCTCTAGAACTTTGTTCTTACGCGTGTGCACTTTTATAATAGTTGTTAGAATTGAATTTACAAGATATTTCTTCCCTCTTTTATTTAGATGCAAGCCATGTGTTGTAAAATCGCTCCTATTTCTCATGTCATTCCCACATGTCATTGATCACATGTCATTCCCAGAAGAAATTCATAGCAGGGTAGGTATGCAAGAAAGTCATGGATGAGCACCATCTTAGAATTCAGGTCTTCAAAAGTAAAATTAATTGTGAAAATCCAATTCTTAAAACTGTTTGATTAAGATTACCCGGGAATATAATATCTTCCTTTCGAAGATGTTTTATAATTATACCTTAAAAATTTATCTTTCCATCCTTTTATTTTTGACGTCATCTTGGATTTGGTACCGTTTGACTTTCACGGCTTTTTCACTTCACATCAGAAGTTTAGGAAATCATCCCTTGAATCATTGCGCCGATTTGATTCCTCGTACCCTCCATATTCAGCCGCAATTGATTTAGAGTTCTGGGCAGCCCCTCTAAGTAAGTGGCATTTAGCAGGTCTTATTGAAGAGTAAAATAAATTTTGAACATCTAATCAAACTGCTTGACCATTGCTGTGCAGAAATTAATGAGACTTATTATAAAACTTTTTAATTTACCCTCCTGTCGTTCAAATTAGGCCATCTTTTTAGATATTGGGTACCTCGTTTGAACAATAGCTTCCTTGACTTTATATCGGAACTAGCCGTGATTAGCTCGCTTCGCGAGCTGACAAGTCTAGCCGGGGAGTGCCCCTGGAACCCAGTTCTACGCTTCGCGACGAACTTGCGACTCGCTTCGCGAGCCGCCACCGTCCCGCACAGTTTTTAACATTGATGAGGAGACAGCATCTATGTCTTAATCTTCTTTTTCACCAAGTTTTACAGAAATTGATATTCTAGGAGTCCGGACCGCGTTTTCGTGCGGGGCCGCCATCTTGGATTTGGAAATGTTGAAAATCTGACCAAAAATGCGAGTTTTCCGTCGAAATCCACCTCCTAATACCGAATTTCACAAAAATCGATGGATCGGAAGCCAAGATAACAATTTAAACCACGTTCGCCATTTTTGATTTTTGAATTTTGAAAATCGGACCTAAAATTCTAATTTTCCGTCGAAATACACCTCCTAATACCGAATTTCACAAAAATCGATGGATCCGAATCCGAGATAGCAATTTAGACCACGTTCGTCATCTTGGATTTTTGAATTTTGAAAATCGGACCTTAAATTCTAATTTCCCGTCAAAATATACCCCCTATTACCGAATTTCACAAAAATCGATCGATATCAGGAAGCGATATAGCATTTTAGGCCACGGCCGCCATCTTGGATTTTGAAATTTTGAAAATCAAATTAAAAATTCGAGTTCCCCGTCGAAAAGTACCCTAGATCTCCGAGTTTCACGAAAATCGATAGAACAGGAGCCGACTTAGCATTTTAGCCCACGGCCGCCATCTTGGGTTTGGAAATTTTGAAAATCTGACCAAAAATTCGAGTTTCTCGTCGAAAAATACCGGTGGATACCGAGTTTCACGAAAATCGATAGAACAGGAGCCGACTTAGCATTTTAGGCCACGGCCGCCATCTTGGATTTTGAGATTTTGAAAATCCGACCAAAAATTCGAGATCCCCCGAGAAAAATACCCCCGCTTACCAATTTCCACAAACATTCGTCGAAAAATACCTCCTAAAACCTTAAATTTCGTCTATAAGGCAGTGACGTCACGCAACAGGATTGAACCTGTTCGGCGCGATGCGCGTAAACAACCGCGTATCTCCAATGTAATACTATATGGAGAAATAACTTTTCGCTCTTGCGGGCATCCGAGGCAGCGGATTTGAATGGGAATAATTTTAATCAACTCCTCATTACTATAGCTAAGCGTGTACCAATTTTAAAGGAAATCGCTTTGGCCAATTTTTATCTAGGGGGGCAGAGTGAATGGGAACAGCAGCTTTATATAGAGTAATAATAATACCAAATTTGAGAATGAAGCATTTTAAGGGATATTCCGTGGTACGTGTCAAACTTAATGATGAGATCATGCAGATAAAGTCCATTGCCTACGTAACTTGTTTTCACTTCGCACTTTTTCTCCCGTATTTCTTCCAGACTATAAATTAGTAGTTACCTATACCCCACAAATTTAAGGGTTTTTCGAATTTTACACTAAAACGGTTGAACTGAGAGTGAAAACGATTCTTTGTCTTTTATGTATTTTTGTTGTATTTGTCATTGTTGCCAAGTTATCGTCAAAGAATCTGAATTTTCCGTCAATTTTAACCGTAACGTCAATCCGGGGGATCCGAATGTTGACGAGAAAATTCAGAAAAATTCAGGCGTTCTTTCATAGATCAATTTGCCAATTATGCGTTGTGTCCGAACCCCCCCCTCCCCCCACCATCCTCAGTAAAAAGTACCCAGACAAACTAAACCTAAATGTTCGCCAAGCTTTGTAAGTATGTTAAATTGGTCTATTCAAAGCTAGTTCACTTATATAGGTACTTCTTCTTTCCGTTATCAATTTTTGAGCTTCGGAGAGCATTATTCTCAGTTCTCACAATGTCAATTAGAGGAAGAAACTACTTCCTACTACCGGGAAATGATACATTTGCGTTGAACTTCCTAGAAATTTGTGTGCAGTCGAAGACTCAAAGGAGACGGTGCAGACTCAAACAGAGTGATCAAGACAATCAAAACACAGCTGGGCGTTAAGTGGGTCAATTGGAACTTCCAGGCGTCAATTCAGTTTATATTTGTTGATGTTTCAATTTGGATACCATCAATTTGCGATTCGGAAGGGAACCTCGACATTTGAAACTATGCCCCCCCCCAGTTCATCCCCCAAGGGAGACCAGGGGGTTCTCAGACCATGAAAATCGGATTCCTTGTGGTCGACTACCTGGGGAGCCATCTTTTTCCGGAGGATTTACGCCAATTTTGCGATCAAAGGAAAATGATGAAGGGGACCACTGTCCTCCTCATAAAGGGAGCATTTTTGCGGCCTTTAAGGCACCAATTTGGGCTTTAAGGGGCCAATTTTACGCGAAATTTTCCGTTCTTTTCAATTTTAATGCAATCAAATCGCAATTTTTCAGGAACCCCGACCTTTATGACACCCCCCCCCCCTTCCTCCTCTCAAAGGAGATTCGGGACCATGAGATTTGGATTATTTCGGGTCAATTCCTTCTTCAAACCCACGGTGTTTGACTTCGTACGATCTAAACCAGCCGAGAAAAAGGCCTAGTACAGGTTGTCCGGGACTGAGGAGGACCATCCTGGGCATTTTTTACATTTGGTATTTTGGGTGATTTTTTTATCGTTTTTAAAATATATAATTTTGATTTAAAACTAATGATTTTGAGAAAATCCTCTGAAAAAAATCCCACAATCACCCAATATTTGACACTGATATCAGTCATATCATGCTTCAAAATCCTTGTCAGCGGGTATAAATCCCCTCCTTATTATGTTAGTAAGGGATTTGGCCCAATAATTTAAAGATTCAATTACTTCAATTTAATATCTTTCACGCTCGAAATTGCGAGTTTCCACAGAGCTCGATTTCTAATTCCCACTTATCACCTTTTTTCCTCGGACCTGGTGCGGCAGAATGCCTTTCAAAACTTCAAGATTTGAGAGTCTTCGTCAATTTTCTAATGATAACATTTTTTTTCCACCCGGTTATCGGATTGAGTCTAAGAGAGAAATTAGTGCACTAATTCTTTCTGCTAAAATTTTCTATCGAAGGAATATTTTTAAAACATTTTCCCACAAATAATATCCTCATCGGATTCCTCTCTAAGACAACCGGAATTTCCGTTGTTAGGGATAAATAACAACCAAATCGATGTTTCTCTTAATTTTAAACAGAAAAATGGAGTTGCTCTCCAAACAGTGCGCGTTCGTATCAAAATTAGAACAGTAGATGTGTAGACGAAAGTAGATCATGACTTTACTGACCATCAGAAACGGTCATTCGCCATCTGTTGTTTCACAGTAGCGTCTCAGTATATATTAAGAATGATAATTCTAGCACTAGAAACGCAAAATGCGGACGCAGCTGTTATTATCCTTCTTGAAGTTCAAGAAATAAAGCCACACAACCACCAAGATATGCAGCCTGAGAAAGTAATGTAATTACATTCTTTTGTCTGATTGTGAGATCGATATAGCTGATTAGGAGCTTCAAGGGCAAGAAACTAATTTTTTGGTCCATAAAGATGCTTATTTTATTGCGTCATTGCATCGGGCGAATGACAATCGTAAAACTTTGTCCCGTACAATTTGTTTCTCCAGTGCTGTATTTTCGAAAAAATCGCGTTTAAATGCACGAACGCGCCAGACTGCATAATGGGGAGTTTGCATGCAAATATTTTTATTACCTCATCTGAAAGTGCTTAAAGAGCTGATTTTATAGTATTTTTATAATTTTTTTCTGATACTAGCCGTTCTGGGCGCGCTTCGCGCGTCCGTCACGGCCAGCCAAGGGGCTGTGCCCCCTGGACCCTCGATCACTCGCTACGCGAGTGACATTCGGCTCGCTCCGCGCGTCAGTTTTCTCAGTGATTGGACATTCGATCACTAAGATGTATAAATTTTGGAGACTCTGGACTACTGGAGGCATAAATGATTTCGTCACAGAACCTTGTTGCCGGAGCGTGCCATCATTTGCACATGAATAGGTGTGTGGAGATGAAACGATGATGGGGATCGACCATTTCCTCATAAACGCATTTGACCGGGACATCATCCCATCGGGTGACGGAAAAAGACAATCTATGGATCTCCTTCCGCGATTTGACTCGCTGACGTAGCAAAAGTTCATATTTACCTCTTAAAAAGATTATCGGTGTCGTAGAGGTCTAAAAACTGCTCAACGATAGTAAAGTTCGAGTTCCGAATCGCAATGAGCCCACTCGTGTTCTTTTTCCTTATGCAGTGGATACCTATCGGATATAACGACCTTGAAGGGACCAGCCATATTCGGTCGTTATAGCAGATAGTCGTTATAACCGATAGTGGAATTTTTACGCACGTACCCTATGTCAAAGAGCTGAGAACAAGGCTGTGCTGTAGGTGGGATTCCAGGGCCCGGTG